TTAAGAAATATACCATACTTAGTCTCATATTACCATTCCTCTTTCCAAAATTACCAGTGAGATAAAATGAGAACCATTCCATGGAAATGGTAATATTTAACAAGTATACGTTTCCAGTGTATATTCAAAAAAGTCATTCGAGAATGCTCCTTTTGGTAACCACACATTTCCTGACTATCTATAACCCTTAATTACTCTCTGAAGTGTGTTCTAGAACTGGATTAAAATACATATCACAGACTTTTTTTAAAAAGCACTTTGTATATGTGTGATAATTATTTGTAAATCTTTGTAACATTCTATAAAACTTAGAAAGGCAATCATTAACCCGCCCCTGAAGAGTGAGCTGTGATGCGGGAATAGGGTCAGTGCTGTTGTATGCCTAGCGCCCGCTCTGGTACCTGGCACACACAAGGCATTCAATAAGCATTTGTTGACCTATACACTTTAATCAACACATTAAATAAAGTGATTTCAGAGTGCCTGGTGGAGCATGCGACTCTGGATCTCTAAGCCCCACGTTGGGCATCAAGCTTACTTAAAAATAAAATTAAAACAAATTAAGTGATTTCAAACTCGAGAGCCAGCTCTCCAAATTTCAGCTTTGACCCTGCCATCAGATACGCCCCCCAGAAAGCAAGGAGCCATCCAGAGGCCAGGGTTTACACTTGGCCACAATCCAAGGATCCACATGAATGATGGGAGATTACAAAACCAAAGACAACTCTAAAATGAATACACGAGCGAGCCACGAAGGGACTGAAGCTTACAGAAGTGCATCTGGAGACACTTCCAATTTAGAAGACTAAGTGAGGTTTAGGCCTACAGCTTGGGGCTAAAGATTATAGACCTGACAGATGTCAGCCAAAAGAGAACTTCAATTTTGCTTCTACTTCTCTGATGAGGATGTCCTTTGGGAAGAAGGGAACATTTACAGGGCAGCTAAAAAGCAGTAGGGGCTAGGCTAGATATTTCATATTGGTTATCACATATAATCGTCACATGTGATACACCTTCATTTTTTGTTTTCTAGTGTGTTGATATTTGCTTTTCTAAAACCGAGCGTATTTCAGACGACACTCGACCTTTTCCTTCCTAGTCTGTATGAGTTCCAGGGTGATGTGTAGCCTTCTCCCCCAAAGACACAACCCCAGGAATCTTGGTCTTCCTTTTAGTTTCAGAATCCCAGTTTACTCAATCACTTTGCTCTTCTTTTGAGAATATTTCCATTAATCTTACATAAAATTCTTTCTACAAAGTAAGACTAAAGTATATCAGTATACCAGAAATCCCCATCCCTATTTTAGAAATGGCAAAACTAAATTAAGGCTCAGGGCAGTTAAAAACTTGCCTAAATTTACACCATCTAATTTCTAAGCAGAACCAGGATCCAATTCAAGTTTGCTTCCAAAAGTCTTTCCACTAAACCACATTTCCTTATCAGGATGAAAAAATTTGCATGAATATTGCTAATTTTCATGACCTCTCTTGAAGGGATCACGAACATACACAACTGCTGAAAACTGTCATAACCCAGATAAGTTACATCTAGAAGCCCTAACATAAAATTAGCGTGGCAACCTTTAAGGAATCATGGATGATAGGTGATGGTCAAATGGCATCTTCATTTTTTAAAAAAGAACACTTAAGACTGAGAAAGGAAGCACAGTCTGCTAGGCAGGAGCCACATTTCTTCGGCCTTTGTATCTCCAGGGTCTAGCCCAGGGCCTCATACACGATGCTCAACAGATGTTCAATGAATGATACACTACCTTACACATCTCGGGTCATCAAAGAGATGAAGAATTAAACTTAGTGTGTATAGCTTCAAGAGGCAGAAATTCCCAGTCACAAGGGGGTATGCTACAATGAAGACAAAATTCAAGAAAACAATGAGCAGTTAGGGCTATCTCAAAATGGCAGTGTATCATGAGGGGGGTGGGGAGCTGCCAATCACTAAAGTGCTCATTAAGTATGAGAATGACGCAGAATGACCTAAGGCCCTCACCTCTGCGATGGTGGTCAGTGGTCACCTTGCCTCCAGCCTGCCGTCTTGTCTCCCATTCATGGCGGTGGGGAGGGGGTTGGAGGTTTGGGCGTCGGAGAAAAGGGAGGTAGAGGTTCAAGGTAAATGACAGGAAAGCGAGAGTTCTCCATTATTCACTTCCCTGGAAGCCTCAACTCCTTACATTATACCAGTCCTATAACACACTTACAGGGAAGGCTTTCATGGCTGCTCCGGGAACCGGTCACCACTAACAGCATCACTCAGGAAAATGAATTCCAGGTTCCCAGTGACTCGGCTATCCTTGTACAACATAATCCATTGAACTGGAGACTGCATAAATGTGCACCTCGATTTTTTCTTCAACAAAATAGTAGGAATTTGTTAGCATCTGGCTCACTTGATGGTAACTTCTGTGATTTCTAACAATCCCAAATTCATGAAGTTAATCAACAGGCAATTAACCTAAAATTCAGATTTCCTAAAATTCTCTGTCACTGCCAATATACTGCACCTTGGCATAAAAGTTAAAATCAAGCCTACAGACATTTTCTTTGTACAAAAGGAAAAAAGTAGCTGACTTTCAGATAATGTGAAGGTAGTAACATTAACATTTAGAATCTCCTTTCCTCTCACATCGCAGATTCAGGGTCAGCATATTTCAGAATTAACGCCCTGTGATTGGAGGTCTAACATGAAGGCTTCACCATCCAGGGGACCACTCAAGTTAGCTGGGTGGGAGAGGCAGTCTGAAAGACCAGAGAACAGGAAAGGTTCCACGTCATGACTTTGCTGCCACCAAAAAACAAAGGGAACATGCATGGTAGCACACATACAGACCCCGTAACCGGTGTTAGCCACGGTAAACCACAAATTCATTTCTCATGCAAAAGTGGACAGATGATAGGTATGTGCATAATACAAATCAAGTGCTGAAAATTAAGCTTTTTTGGGGTACCACCGAGACTCTGGTTTCACTGAGGATCAACACCATGTGTTTAACTTGCAACTCTGTGTAAAACCATGATGAAGATAGCATAGAACATGTGCTTCGGCAGAAAGCTGGATGTGTGAAACGTTGCTATGAAAAAAATGAAAACAGGAATAACAGAAGTATATTTTCTTTTATATACAAAAATGAAGCCCCCAAAAATGGTTTGTTGTAGTAGCTATCGACAAGACGTTAAATTATTTTTCCTCTGCTTTGGTTAAAACAGCCAAGGAGCGCCAATCAGTTCCCCTTCCACTAACAGCATATAAACACAGTGACAAGACTACTTTTAGGACAGAATAAACGACTTTTAAGAAAGAAGATTAAATTAATTTTAAACTAAACATTTTACCAATAAATAACTTTCTTTAAAAGGTAGCATCTCCATCCTATGATCTTGGGCACAACATATACATCAAGTTAAAAAATAAAATTTCTCCTGTAACAGCAATTACAGGTGTTAATGCAACAAGTATGAAATGAAATTACTTTAATGTATCTTGAGAAGAAAAGTTCTAGGAATCAAAAATAAATTTTGAAAAATGACATTTTCCTAAAATCGTACATTCTAAAATAATTGACTAATACTTTATTACAGAACATAATTCAAACTATTTTGGCATTTCAATATATTCCTAAAGAAATGGTTAAAAAAAAAGTTTGCATACACCAAAACTGGAACAGTGTTTATAATTCTGTTTATGACTATGAAATGGCAACCAAATTCTACTTAAAACTATAACCACCAATGATGAAATATACTTCAAAAAAATAAAAATTTGGTCTGATAGTCTTTAATATTGGTTAAAAAAGAGACTGATGTTTGCTGCTTATGAAAGTTATTTTAATCCAATGTGCAAAAAAAAAAAAAGTGCAGCTGTCTACTTTTACTTGAAATACATAAGACCAACACTTCTACACTATTTACACACTTAAAAGATTTTCAATTTATTAATTTAAGTAACGATATTACATCTCCTATAAATCACGTGCTGCAGAGAGCCCAAACGCTTGATGACATTCTCTTAAGTGACACACATGTATCCGAAGAAGCATACCTGTTCTTGTCCTAATTTGATCCTAAGTAAAAATCCAAGTTCAAAAATCAATTGAGAATTATTTTGATCTAGAAAATCTTGGAATTGTTGCAAACATGAAAACCTTGTCCCTGAGAGCAGGTTCCTATTCCCCCTTTGCTATCCCTCTAATAACTGGTCTACCCCACAAACCGCATCTGCCGCCGAGTGACAATGCCCCAAAAGAGAGGAACAAAAAGAACTCAGCCCCCAGACTACCATCATCCCTGTGGGTTTGCTCAGCCTTGTGTTCGGGACTTGTGACTACATCTTTTGGGGGAAGTGCGGGCAATCAAAACGAAGAAACATTTTAGCAAAGCAACCATCATTTGTCCACAAAAATAGTGAAAACCAGTGATATAAAATTAACAAACCGAATACAAATCTAATGCCATTCTGCACTTCTGGAACTTGTGTTCGTATCCACGCGGTGTTCTTGGTCAACCACCCACCAGTATTTTCTGCATCTACATGAAGTACTCTTATTAAGTTATTAAAAAGGCTGTTTTGACTGTGAAGTCACAAATAAGCGTGATGATCAGGAAATCAATTTACTTAATTATCACTCTGTGCAATACACTCACCAGCGCAGCAAGTGTCGAGAGGAATTAAAAATGGAACAGAAGTCTCCTACTTCTGAACTGGACACAGGAGTTCTCAAATTAAAATCGTAAAAAAGAGGGAGGGGGACTTACTGGCGACATTACCACCAGACACCAGACAGGACAGTGACACTGTTTGGTCGGAACCAAGGAACCTTACTTCCTTGCAAAGTTTTAAAACTACCTAACCAAGCACTGCCTTAAGTCCAGCGAGTACAATGCTCTGTAAGTTTCCACAAAAATACAGCGACTGGCGTTCATGTACGACGAACAATGCGGTCTCAGTCTCCAGGGCTCAGGCGAAGCGGGGTCCTGTCCCATCACCTCTAGCTACAGGCTATCGTTTCCAACTGCTGCTCGGCTTCAGCGGCCATCGCTGCTGCCTGCAACTGTTCTGTCTCACTCTGGATGGCACTGGGGGTCACCTGCTTCCTTTCACTGTGCATATTGTTCTCGTGCCTTTTCAGATCAGACGCCTTGGCAAATGCCTTGGTGCAAGAGCCACATACAAAGGGCTTCTCCCCTCTGTGTCTTCGTTCGTGGTCTTTGAGGTGGGACTTGTGTTTGAAGGCTTTGTCACACATGTGGCACGCAAAAGGTCTCTCGTTACTGTGAACTCTCTCGTGCTTCTTTAAGTCTGGGGCGCGGATGAATGATTTTCCACACACCTCGCAACTGTAGGGTTTGTACCCTGTGTGGATTTTTAGGTGTTCTTTCAGGTGGGCCTGTGTGGTAAAACCTTTTGTGCACATTTCACAGACAAACGGCCTGTCTGCCGTGTGGAGTTTCTCATGCTTCCTCAACCTGCCTTCGTCGGAGAATGTCTTACCGCACGCCTGGCAGGCTATCTGCTCCCGATGGTGGCCATAGAGTAAGTACTCGAACTTCATGTCACTGGCGGCTGTCGTCCAGCCTGGCGTCTGTTCATCCTTCACTTCACTCATTCCGTCGTTAAATGTTAAGGCTTGAGGGGTCTGGGACCCCAAATCTTTCGATTCCGGGGTCTCCATGGATTCTACCTCCTGCCCGTAGCAATTTACCTTCCGGACTTCCTCACTCCCCAGCTCTTTTAAGATTGCTTCCTGAACCCTGAGCGTTGTCGTCGGCGACTTGCCGTCCTCCTGACTCGGGGGGGTGCCTTCTACCGTGTCATCGGAAGGACTGTCATCCTGGTCTCCAATTTCTTCCACGTCATCATCCTGAGTGTCAGCAGCATCTCCAATGGGGCGATTTATTTTGAGGCAATACTTACTCTTTGACTGGCCGTTGTTTTCATCGGGACTGGAGACATCACGCTTCTGAGTACAGAGTTTATCCAAAAACCGGATACCAAGAATCTGACCCGATGACATCATTAGGTTGACATCTTCTTTTTTCACAGAAATCTTTGCTGTGTACATGTAGTTCAGGACCTCTTCGAATATATCAGAACGAAGAAAATCTATTTCTATTACCGAAGAGCTATCAACCTCAAGCTTCTTGAAAAGCTTTTTAAAGTAGGTGCTGCAGGCGGCAAGAACACACCTGTGTGCTCGGAATTTCACATCTTCGACCACAATGGCGATATCACAGAATTCTCCTTCCAGGCGTTGTTCGTTTAGTGTTTTCAGAAACAGAGTTTTATGATCGTCGTCATTATATTTAATGGTTTCAGACATACTGATGAAAAACTCCTGCAAAAGAATTGTTAAAAACAGAGTTTCAGATTTACGACTGATACTTTTTCCACATACAAAACACAGGTGGGCTTTCATTTCCTTATGAATTTTCAGTAGCTAGCAATTTCACAAAGTCAATGTTAGGAGTGGTTCAAGAACAGGAGTACGAAAGACTGGGATATCCATCCCAGCTTGGGGATGGCCATGTTGTCACTTCTATTCATCTTCAGTTTAAAAAGTATTTGTTTAGTAATAATAACAGCCACTTTGAGTGGGCACATAATACATGCCAGACCCTGTTCTGTGTGCTTTGCGTGCCTTCACAAAGGTACTGATTAAATAACCTTAGGACACAGGCATTCCTACCCGCCACCCCCCCCCCCCCACCTTTTATACATGACTTTAGGAACCTGCTCAATACTCTAGTTATTTAGCTGGGACTCCAATCCAGGCAACCTACCCCAAAACTTGTGCTTCTGACAACGAGAGGTAACGACAACAAATAACCTCAAGGTTTAAGAAAGAGGTGCGAGGCCAAGAGCCTCTACTCCGGTCGTGTCTACTCTAATTCCGTGTACAGAAGAGATTCCGTGAAACAACTAACAGCGCTCAGTGTTCTACTTCCTGGACAGAAGAGACGCATCACTCCCGTAGAGCTAGAAAGAGATACCATTGCCAAAACATCCCACTTAGTGTTGTCTTCTGGGGTTTTTTTCCTCACCGGCCTTGGGCTACTTCTGAATGAGGGTTATGGTTTAATATGACCCTCAGACAATCAGATGGCATTTGGGAGGGCAGTGATAAGTGTCTTCAGTCCACCTGGATGCCTATCTATCCGCCATCCGGACGAAAGCGTCATCGGGACTGGATGTGCTTGGCAAGTGCCGTATTTTATAAGCTAAAAAACTTCTGAACTGGCATGAGACATCTGGCGCAAAAGACCGTCCTAAAGAATTATCTTTTTAAAAGAATGTGTTCTGTATGATTTCTTTTTGAAACATTGTTTTCCTTTTATTTAACAAAGCATTCTCCCCAAAGAATCAAGTTCTAATGCATAACCGATACGTGTATATATCCTACTGTGCACATACGTTATACGTTGTATACGTTATACACACTGTGTTTTTTAAAGCAAACACCAAACCAGATTTTCAAGATTTAATATCCAGAGTTATAGTTACCATGAACAACTCAGGCTATTATCTTAATGCTTCAAACACCAAATTCTTCAGATCAGAATAACTCTGATCAGGGATGCGCCAGTCCTACAAGAGAAAAGGACAAACAAGAATAAGGTAGGACCTTCCTCCATCCCAAATTCTAAACAAGAATATTTTCAAGAATTGATTTTAAAAAATAAACTTTCCTTTCTCGTCCTGCCACTTGCACATGTACCCATTTTCAGGTTGGGAACAGAGAGGAGGGTGACTGGCAGCATCAGGTCCAGCTCTGAACAGATATGAATGAGAACAGATAAAGGCTGTGGCACTTGGGGCGTGCAGGGGCGGTACACTGGGATTAGAGGAATGGGTTGGAGAACCACTAAGGAAGTCCTAACAAAGCCCATGCCCAGATTTGCACAGAGGTTCATAGCTACACAGACACAGAAAAAGCCAGTAAGTATCCCCTACCCCCACTATTTCCTGCTTGGGCATGTAGCCCTCCACCTTTATTTCTAGGCTCATAGAAGCATATAGTGTGTACGTTTTAAAAATCAATATAAAGTCATAGACGTGTCCATACCCCACAATTAACCCTGGAGGAGAGAGAACAGTAGCTGCTTTCTTCTTTCCATGCTTCTATGTGATGTGCACCTATCACTTAAACTACACTGCTCTTCATTGTTGTAATTGAGAAATCCTAGTGTTTTCACCTCTATCCCTACTGGGAGACTGAAAAAATTCTAGCTTTTAGGGGGTTTTAACTCTTACCATAGGGACTCCATCCTGCAGACGAATATTCTGAAAAACATCTTTCCTCGACTGAACAGTGAGCACGAAAACTTCGGTGTGGTAGAACCAAGGACTGAGCTGCAATATTCTTCCACAAAAATTGTGGTGCAAGAACCGAACTTAGAGACCAACACTATGAAGACCCTCCAAAGTTCCCTCTCCAGAAAAACAAACACACCCCTAAGCTGCCTAAAGTAGCAGGGGGTTTCTCATCTGCACACGTGAGAGCTGGGCAACATTACTAATAGAGTTGCTGTGGACCCCGCCAGTCCCTTCGATGTACCTCGGCCTGCAGTCATCTCCAAGGGAAGGCAGCCACGCAAAACCTTCCTACCTAGTCGCTTCCCACTGTTGTAACTCTCCCTAAGGCTTGTGGGATAAAAGTGCATGGGACTAGGGAGAGGAGTGGCCCTGCAGTACCCATGGCGACACACCACGGTGCTGAATTTGGTGGGATGGAGGGTGCAGTGTGATATTTGGTCCCCACTCTCTCGCAAGATCGTCGAGGTCCATTACTTTCTGCTGAGACGTTCCAGTTGCTAAGTTCAGGTGAGTTAAACCGGCCGTTGCCAGTATTTGTGTAGGTGCAGGGAAAGATGTAGTCCCAACTACACCTCCAAACAAAGCTGCCCCTTTATTGTGGTTCTCCAAACCGCTGGCGCGCTGGGCCGCCGTTAGAGAGCAGGGAGCGGGGGCTCCAGCAAAGTCAAACTTACATAAGCAGCGGCAGCCGCCTCCCCTACCCCGGAGCAGCCGCG